CCGACTCCTCTTTTCCCTCCCCCCCCATCCCCGTTCTCCCAAACGAGGGAGATGAGATAGGTGGTGGTTTGCAGTGAGCGCCATCATTCTGATCCAAGGATGCAGTTTTCAGGCAAGGGAAGGGACACACGGACCTTCCCCAAGGAATTCAGATTATTATTTCCTTCCAGGAGGGAAGGTTGTGGCGGATATTCATTCATGCTCCCATCTCGAAAATACAGTACTGTAATATGCCTGGAGCACCTTCTCTCGGGGATTGTTGCAATGCAAATGCTTACACAACAGAGGTGGGGGAGAGGAGTGAACTTGGGAAGAATCGGGATTCAGACATCGGGTTTCACAGTTTAAATCAGGGGAGACTATTCTTGCTCTCCAAAAGATAACATTTAAAAACACACACACACACACATCCCCTTAATTGTTTTACCCTCCCTTGTAGAAGAGGCAGCAGTCCTAGAATTAGCCGAAGATGTCGGGTCAGACGCTGACAGATCGCATCGCAGCTGCTCAGTACAGCGTTACAGGATCAGCTGTAGCCAGAGCCGTCTGCAAAGCAACCACACATGAAGTGATGGGGCCCAAGAAGAAACACTTGGACTGTAAGCACCTCTTTATATAAATGGTTCATGTCTGGAACAAAACGCTCTAGGGCTCTGTACTCTGTGGTTATTATGTCTCCTGGCTTACTGATTTCTATCATCATAAGGATTAGTGATGTGCTCAGAGTGATGAACTTTTAATTGTTTATTTCCTGAGGATGTAGAATTGCTCCAACCAGTTTATCATTCCTCATGTTGACCTTCAGATTTCAGGGTAGGTGCATATGCCAGACAGATTAGAAGGTCTGTGAATGGGAGGGAGTGATTAAATATTCTAGACAGGCTTTGGACACTAGTAGTTACAGTAATGACACTGACTTGAGACCATAATTGATGTTTGACCTTAATGACTATAACATGAAGATTAATTTTAGGGAAAGATTGGTTTGATCATGGCAAAACTGAATGATACCTGGTTATAGTGAAATGGAATGATTCCCGGTCACTGTAACTTAATATGGTACAGTTGTATCTTGGGGAGATGTGGGATAGCAAAGGTGGCTGAAGGCAGAGGTGTGGCTCCATCACTCAATCAGTGAAATGGAATGATTCCCAGTCACTGTAACTTAATATGTTACAGTTGTATCTTGGGGGATGTGGGATAGCAAAGGTGGCGGAAGGCAGAGGTGTGGCTCCATCACTCAATACTCTGTTCTTCAGTAATTTGTCATATGCAAAGTGTAATGTAGAGTCATAATTAGAGATGAGCACAAACCGCCCAGAGGAGGTGGGGCAGGATGCTGCCTCTGAGTGGGCACCCACTAAAGGAGGTTGGGCACCAAACTGCCAATCATCTGTTTGGTCAGGATATGAACCACTGAACCAGCCTCTTGGGCCCATTTCTAGTCAAGATCCTGTGAACCCTCTAGCGACAGTGTGAAAATGAAACACCAGTAGAAACAGGAGAATATATAGACAGCCACTTGCACAGAGACCCTAGTAAATCAGCCCTCACACCTTATAGCTAATGTTGCACATCACCTCTCCCAAAGGGTCCATACACTGCAGGCGTTAGTCAGTATTTGATAATGGTGCTGTGGTGATGTCATGGAAACATGTCATCCCCCCCTTTTTTTTTTACACACAAACTATTCCCAGGAAGTGTCCACAGCATCTTGCCAGTCTCTCTGCCATGGTCCACAGATTAAGAGGCTAGTAGCTGATAGCTGGCTGGACACCTTAGTGGTTTAGGTATCTGGCTGCAGACCCAGAGGTTGGGAGTTTGATTCCTCACTGTGACTCCTCCGAGTAGAGCCAGCCTATGTAGCTTTGGGCAAGCTACATGGTCCCAGGGTGCCCCCAGAAGAAGGGGAGGGTAAACCACTTCTGAGTATTCTCTATCCGGAAAACCCTGAAAAGGGTCACCATGTCAGAATTGATTTGACAGCACATAATAATAATTATTAGATGATAGCTGCAGCCGAAATATCTGAGTTTCTTCTCAATAAGGAGTTGAAATCCCCTGTAGCTCAGACGTATCTGGCTGCAAACTGCAAATAAGTTCCTTGATAGGGATGGGTCAGGGGTGATATGTGGTGGTGAGAAGGAGGGTGTAACTTCCGAATCACAGCCAGAACACTCCAAAGACCAACAGATAGTAAATCACAGCCAGAAGGATTCCAGGAAAAATGTGTGACCCTGAGATGAAAGAAATGTTATAAATCTGACCTTCCTACTTATCATTGGCATTCTATAAAACCATTTTCACAAATAACCTATTTGTTAACCTTCCCCCCCCCTTTTTTTTTACCCAAGAGTGGCATAACTCCATATCATGTTTCATGTTTATGTACAGGTTATCAGTCTATTTGTGATTAGAATCCTGTCTCCTGATATGCTTGTGGTGATATGATATGAGGAGTGAAGTGGGGATTTAAATAAGTCGTTGGGAGAGGTTTCTCTGGACTCCGGTGGTACCTATTTCTTGGCATAACATTATGAAGTCATTATGAATTAGACTAACCCTGGACAAATACAGGATCTGAGCTAAGCCCTGTCTGAATTTTTTTTTCTTCCTCTGGCAGTGTCTGGCTAGTGTAAAGTAATAGTGGAACAGCACAAGCTTTTCCTGGTGCAGCAATCCTGTCTTGCTTGGCAGACAGATGTTGAGGCTTACATGCTTAAGTGGCACAAGCTTCTTCTGGTGCAGCACAATTAAGTAGCAATCCTGTCTTGCTTGGTAGACAGATGTTGAGGCTTACATGCTTAAGTTTTGTGGCGCTTGACAAGGTTGTGTGTAGTTCTTTTGATATAATCACTTGAATAGGAAAACACCCAGTTTAATAATTAGCCAATTGTTTGAAACTTCAGATATTAAAACTAGAAAGCAGTGGGATAGAATCAGTGTCTGAATGAATCTTTATTTGTTCCTGCAGGCCTGTTTAGAGACAGAGGAAATGTTGAGGTTGCAGGCTGACAATAGACAATGATGGTTTCGTTTGTAGCTTTTTTCCCCCAATACATTTTCTTGCTAATGTCTGACCTTTGGAGCACATTTTATGGTAACTGTTTCATACTGAGAAACCAAAAGGTAATTTTACTGTATGTTAAATGCAAAGTCTTGTGCCCTTTCTAGCACACAAAAACACACATGGAAGGATATGTTGTTGCAAATATGGTAGTATCTGAACTGTTGTTCCTTACCAGTGTATTTTCATATAGGTTAGCAACATAATTGCCACAACAATGAATCATGCGCTCTGAAGAATTAAAACATCACTCTGATCTCAGATATATTTTCTGGAAATAAATTATGGTGACTTGACTGAAAATTTGGAGGACTCTTGCCTTGATTCTGAAATAGTAAGATGGATAAACAATGGGTTATATAATAGCTAAAATGTATTGTAGTAGCTCAAAGCTGCAATGGTGATGCTACATGCATTTTTCTAGCTAGTACACATTAAAGAACATCATGTAGTGAAGATTAAATAATTGGGTCCTAGTGTAGCTGTTAAACATCAGGTTTTGAATGAGGGAGGGCAATATTCATTCATAGAATTGAGATCAAAGTTGTAAGTGAGAAAAACAAGACAACTGCAGTTATGATCAAGTGTCTATAGGCTTACAAAAACAGTTGTAGTTTATAATGATATAGAGAAAAGGTAGTGAGGAGAACAAATTGAATAGTGCCCACGGTCTCCTCCCTCAGACATGAATATCCTGTTTCAGGGAAGGACAGCAGAGGTTCCTGTTGCTTAAATAATAAGGAACAGGTTATACATTTGGAGGATCAGCTTGCCACTGCTGCCAGGACAGTGGCAGGAAGCCCAGTAAGGCAGTGAGGAGTAAGAGAGGGGTAAGAAGGCTTATACTGTATAGCTCTTGGACATCTAAGAAAATGGGGCCATAGCTGACTCCTCTTGGGGGCCCTGAACATTTTGTGAGAGAACAAGATGCTTCTAGGACATGTGCCACTTGTAGCACTTACTTGAAAAAGGGTTGGTGGCGAGAGGGCTAAGGAAGAAAGTTACCTGCTGTCTTTGCCTTTTTTTATATAGGCACTCTAAAGACAGAGGAGGAGGAAGATTTAATATTAGTCGCTGAATGCTGCCAACAGGATTAGAAGTGTCAAAAGTGATGGACAGGAATTTTTGAGTGTTCAAGGCTCCCCTCCCCACATCCTGAGGCTCCCAAAGGCTTCCCTGGCAAAACAAGGGAACCTTAAGAAGCCCCACACTCTGAAGGAGAGGGGTCATCTTTGCTTCTCATCTGAAGCCCAAAGGGCTACAGATGAGAAGCGAAGGACTTGGAAATATTGATAGTTGGAATGTAGAGTCTTTTATTTCTTGTTGTCAAAGCACTAGTCATCCTGTACAGTATGGTTGATGAAACTGTTCAAGGTGTTTTGCTATTGATAGAAATTTGTTTGTTTGTTTTTTTAAAAAGGCATTTGTATTTTTTATTAGCTAGCACGGTGTTTTGCTATTGATAGAAATTTGTTTTTTTTTTTAAAGGCATTTGTATTTTTTATTAGCTAGCATTCACATTGCATCTTTGTCCATATTTCTGATCAGTTAGTGGCCATATGTGGTATTCCAGACGTGTACTGAAGCAATGAGGAGAAAGGGCAGACATTTTTTAAAAGTATATATAGTGTCAGGAAAAAAAAACTGAGACTTGCATGACTTCAACTTCTTGTACTTCCTGTTTGTTTCTCGTGGTTTATGGATTTGCAGCCTATTGTTTAGAACTTACAGTACTTCTCTGAAGATAACACAGAGCTGTTTATTGTAAGTAACTGTTGATGCTGTAGGATATAAATACATAAGAAAAGGCTTATACATGGGATAGAAAGTATACTACTGAGATTTACACAGAAATACTCCAGAGACCCAACTTCTTTATTGTGGAGGAAAGACTTGAGAGGAAAATAAACAAGACGCTAAAGCTGGCATTTTATGAATGGATTGTCTTAGTGTCTTGGAATAGAAAATCTTGATAATAGTGTAATTTTGGCTCAGGTGTGCAAAGGAGGAGCAAGAATGTTTGTCCTGGTTTAGTTCCAAAAGAAGGAGATACCATGCAATGAATTGCTTTCTTTTTTCAAAACCGTTGGTAGTGAGGAGTAGCCTTTATCTTGCTTCCTCATAATAATAGCATAATGCTCAGTAGTGATGGGATTTTCAATCATTTTGAATTCACATTGCTTAGTAGGCTATATGGCTAAGGTTTAAATTATTAAATTGGTCACTGAACTGTTAGAGCAGATTAGATTAATTGTTTGGATATCAATTTGAGTATTATCATCTGCATTATTTCTCTGTACCCTGTATGAGTGAAGGAAAAAGGGGTGCCATTTTGAGATGTGCTTAGTTAGAGTTAAATAAGGTTGAATTCTAAAAGTCATTATGTTTCAACACTACAGAAACTGAGGTACTATGGAAATCCTCCCGCCTCCAATCAAATATATTCAACATAATGAATGTGTGAATCCAAATAATAATGCAGCAAATATGTGTGCGATCAGACTTCTCTGAACTTGATAAATTAACATGTAT